CAACTGGTTATTTGATCGCGATATCAGGTGGACTCAATGCTTTGATAGGCTTAGGAGCGTGGCATGCTTCGCTCCGAATCTCCACAATTTAGATCCAGATGAGAATCACACAAGATATGTACCAAGGAAATTGATAAGTGGGCTCATTGAAGATGGTAGGATTTATTGGCTGTTTATCGCGACATTTCCTTTGCTCAATTTATCTGCATATGTCTGTGGGCGACGCCCCCTGTATGGCTACAGCGCAGTTTGATCATGCCGAGGTGCTCTTTTAATTTTATTAACTTTCACAATATTTTATGTATCCCCAAAATAGGCCCTGGAAACCTATTAATAAAACTACTAATATCATCCCGGTATAATTGTGGTTACATGGTTAATACGAGAAAAGATAAAATGATATGGAACCAAAACTATTCAGGATACGGAATCTAAATCTTGGCGGAACAATGGTTGATGAGTGTAAATTAATAAAATGACCAACTTTCCAAATAAGGGAAATGAATATATGAAATCTAACAAATGGCTTTCTATACGATATAATTGATGAAAGAAGCACAAAGAGGATAAAAGCTTGACTAGCTTGGAGCTTGGCTAGGACCCAAACAGCTCGGTTGACTCCTGAGTATTGCATGCATGTGGAACAAGCATAACGATACAATAAAGCACGATAATATTGATCTATCACATCTTAACGGTTAAGGTAAAGGAAAAGGGTATTGGATCACGTACACACCAATTTCAGGATAAATCACAGGTACTTGGGTAGGAGCCCAATATCGGACTATAAGTAGACAGTTGCGGTCGGTTACAATTGTTTGATTTATCACATTAATGCTTTCTCACTGTCATGACAGATAAGTGCACAGCGACTAAGGAGTAGAAGCCACCCAAGAATAAAGAATAAGAGAATTCGATTAATATCCTCTGGATCGGAACACAAATTTTCAGATGATTTATCCTATTTGAAAGTAGGATTGACTAGCAAATTCAAAAAAATAAATTATAACGAACCAATTGAAGTTAGCCAGTAAATCGATACATTAAATACCGTCTTGTAGAAAACTGGGCAACTTTCTAGATTGGAGAAGGATCATGAATCGTTATCGCATTCCCAATCGCTTATTCACATAATATGCGTTAAAAAACATATGGCCAATAAAAGTAAGGGATATTATGAAGCTGAAATAAACCCAAGAAGATGTTTTTGGATTAAGGTGAGTCCCATGGGCAGAAATAAGAAAATAATGAAAAAGGCTAGTAAAAACGTCGACCGCCACCCCTGGGAGGAGTATTCTTATGACCTGTTGGATTTAGTCCGATGCCTCTGGCAGGCAAGGCATTGGCCATATTCAAAGCTGATTTCGTCTGCTGCTGCTGCTAAAACAGAAAAATAAGAAAAGAACCAAATACAGTAAGTGAATCTGCCGAATGCATAATATGGGAACGATCTCATAAAGTTAATCCATGTTTTCAATGGCATTTTGCTTCGGGATAAATTCATATAAATGTCAAGCTCACTTCCCCTTAGAGTGAAAGTGCGATAAAGACATTCGACGATGGATTCCTCCAAGCCAGCTGTCGCTTTGCCATAATTCAACCTGATTGACGCCGACCTCGAGACAATCTCCTTCGATTCCGATGAAGATGTGCTATGCCGTTTGTCATATGATAGACACCATCAAAGCAGAATATCATTCTTACAACTAATTCAAGCTAACGAATCAATAAAACTCGCAGGCTCGTCTCTATATGCCGTATATCTACCCAAACCTGTGTAAGTTAATGAATAGAGTGATCATGCCATATGCAAGTCTAGAATCACGTGAATGGGTATGCTTTCGTGTGTTTGGGTGAGCTCTCACCTGTTATCAAAGTCATCATCAGAGAAAGTAAATCTCGCGCTTGCAGCAAGTTAAGCAAGCCCGTCGGCTAGTCTTCCCCTCCTATATATGCCCATACAACTAATTACGAAAAGGAAGAATTGATTAAGAGCTGTCTACTGGCAGTTTCGAAAACCTATTCATTATGAATAAAACAAAGATTAGGTTCTCTCCTCATGATAACCACATCAGTGCATGTGAGGTGCATGCATATGTAGACATATGAAACCAGAAGTTATGGGGATATAGACTTTACTGGCTCTATTTGGCAGCTATATTCAACCCAATATGAAATATTGACATAACCTTTGATTTTATTCTGATTCTTTTCTGCAAGAAAAGTGATTTAGTGTTTTTGGTAAATGATTATGTGGCTTTGACGAATTCCGTCACGTGACAAACGAGGATTTAGTACGGATTCATCGGTGTTGCTAGACGGTGAGCTATCGTCGTCTTTGCACAATGCAGCAGTCACGAGAGTCCAAGACAATCTACCTTCGGTGTCCGGCAAAGACAATTTACAAATCACTTCCACCCTCCTTTTTAAACAAAATAAAATGCTAGCCACCATCAATGCACAAAGGGATTATTCGAATCCGGCTTCTCTTCATATCGAATAAGCATACAATAATTCCCCTGCTAGAGCATCAAAGTTGGCTAAAGTTCTAGGTCAGATTTACATGCAAGGTGCTTGCATCACTTTTTGATGTAAATGTAAAATAGCCAGAATATAACCCGAATAATGTTATCCACGAATAAAAAATTTGCTTTATCAACTAATGCCACTTGAAATTTACTAATTGGAAGCTATTAAAAGTGGCCCATTTGCCCAGATAATTACGATCGAACAGTCAATCAAACTAAAGTATTGCAATGCGAGCGTGTCTGGATGGCTTATTCAGAAAGAAAATCTGAGTGAAGCAAGTAGATCAAAATAGAAACAAATAATGAAAAATGCATTGCTCTGAAGTCGCACAAAAAGGATATGAAAGAATAAGAATCATGCGCACCTACGAGAAAGTTTAGATAAAAACGAAACGAAGAGGCTCACTTGCTGTTGTTGTTGCTGCTGCTGTTGTAACGCTGCAACAGCTAGAACTTGTGGGTTTAAATAGCCAAATTGACTCAATGCAGCGGCATATGGAACCAAAGAAGCAGGGAAGTTGGCCACCGAAACAGCAGCAGCAGCCGCTGCCGATGTAGAAGAGTTGCAGGTACCTAGAGAGGCTGATGTTGCGTTTAAAGGGAGATTTGGGCCTGGCCCAACTCCTATGTTAGAGGGGGATGGAGATGGGATTGTTGAGACTGTGGATAGCCCAGAAGCAGCAATGGCATCTAGACCAACAAGTGAGGCAGGTAGTAATGAAGGGACTGTGGAAGAAATAGCACCCGTCCCTGAAATTCCAGTATTTGAGACGGATGGGATTAAACCACCAGCAGTGACGCCAGTAACTAAACCTTGCTTGCCACTCAATCCACAGGCGGAGCTGGCTGAACCTAGCAATTGACCAGCTGTCAATCCACCTGTTACGGAGGGAGCTAAGTTGAGGGGAGGAAAGCCAGAGGGTGGTTTACCAGCACCACCAACGGCGCCGCTTGCAGCGAGATTAAGCAGGGTTGTTGTGGCCTGCTGTTGCTGTGACGTCAGGGCCAATGATGTAGACACAGACGGCGGCTGGCATATGCACGTGGTAAATGAGGAATTGGGTAAAGATAGGAGAAAAGTAAAGTTAATATTTGAAGGTATGAAGACCAAGATGGTGTGGCGCTTGTAGGGTCGAGGTCTCCTTTCGTTGTATAGTAGTCGTTTTATCTTATTTTTGCAATTTGGCCATTTTGGCAGGAAGACCTGAGTTTCGAATTATTTTGCCTGCCGATTTTTTTTCGTAAACTATGGTTTCTGGCCCTAACGATATCTGCTACATGAGAAACGGAAACTAAGCCCGGATTAATCGGGATCACAGGACAGTAAGCTGAGATTTTCCCGTCATAATCTAGAACTCACAATTCCGAGGCAATCCATAGGTTTATGGTGAAGCCAAATTATAAATCCCTTCCAGCTACCCTTTCGAACCAGACGAAAGGTACGCCAACACTGAAATATGAATTCCATAATGTACTTTTTAAAGAATATCTGTCCTTTTATGATGGTGGTACTAAAACAAGTCAATTATTATTCGTTTAATGCTGCCCAAGTTTGCACATATCCATAATTAAATAAAATGGTAGATAAATTTATTCACCTCATTTGTATCTTTAATGCGTTTATTATTTCGAACTTCCAGTATCTCGAGCTTATTCATATAGATAGAAAACAAACAATGACCTGAGGAATTTAGCCCCATAGTTTTTAATGTTGTAATTGGCCATGGTCAAGCGCCTATAAATAAGCTTTAAATAAAGGAAAATATAACTCGATACAGGTTGTTTTTAAAAGGGCAATTGCTTCATAAGCTAAATATTTAATATTAGGATAGATCGATTGCATTAAAACGAGAAGATTAATTAAGCATTTTGAATAGTTTGTAATTTCAACAAGAGATAAAAGCTACTCTAAATGCATGTCACTCCAATTAGTAGATACCTAGATATCTCAGTTTTTGATATGGCAAACGACAAAGAAAACTAATAGATGAAAATTTAACTGCATTCCTGCCATAAAAGAAATCCTAGGTTTAAAAAGGTGCATATATAGGAAAGAGAATGAGAATAACTCACAAATCCAGCCACGTTTGTACCGGCAATAGCATTGCCGGCCCCACTGACAACTACAGCAGCTGCCAGCCTGGCGTGCAAATCTGCCTGCTGCTGGGACGTGAGTTTGCCGCCTGCAGCCAAGGCAGCAACAGCTGCTGCTGCGGCAGCAGCCTGTTGATGCTGTTGCTGGTGATGAAAATGATGGTGATGATGTTGTTCTTCATAATTCTGAGCCAAAGCAGCTTGCTGAACAAAACAAGGGCGATAGTAAAGATGTGATCCCACCCACATAAATAAATCATAAGTATACTGAGTTTCAAATAAATGTCCTCTGTTGGTTTGAAAAACTGAGCCAAGATTAATCCGTAAACCAAGTATGCTCACGATGCTCACTTAGATATATCAGCCTATGGTTGCATGCCACTTATATCATCTTAGTCCCTCAAAAATGAAAATAAATCACTATGATGCAACATACGCACACGTGCACAATTAAATAACATAGGCGATTTTCTATTAAAAGGACAAGACTCGCGTCTTTCCATATCTGGAGGTTTCTCCCAAATCGAGATCATTTTCCTAGCACTAATCAGTTGTCGTGACGTCTCATCGTTTGGATTTATTTTTATGATAAAAAATTCAGGTATTTTCATATAGAATGATAAAACAGAAAAATATGATTCTCACAACTAACCGAATTAGACAACTATGTACTGCTTCAATCTCCTCCACACTTATACTCGAATCATTGCAACCTAAGACTGACAAAAAACCCATTATTTTGGTATCCACTTAAGGTGGCAGTCGGGGTTTGCCCACTGTTTCATCCTTCCATACACATTTTAAGTGCTTGCTAAGAATAGACTTCTCATGCCCATCCGAGCCGTGCCCACAGAGTCATTAGTACAATGATAATCTCAAACAATTAACATATCGAGACAGGTTTGATATCCATTTTGAGCTGCAGCATAGCGTAGTCGGGGCCTGTGCAATCAAACCTTCCGGAAACCAAACCTGACTCAAAACTGAGTCAGTCCTCCAAAACGAATAAGAAATCTACCCTCCGGTTCGATAAATTATTTGGTGAGTGAGATAAATAGATTTTATTTTCTAATAGTGACAACTTCATTGCAGTATCTCAGAACTATACCTTCACGTTTCCGTACTGCACATCTCCAAGCTATCATACTAGCGTGTCACATCCACCCCACCACAAAATCCCTCTGCTTGACTTTCAGAAAGCCATAATGATCACATTAGTAAAACTTATCTTTGTAATAAGCCATCTTCTAGCTACCAAGCTGTTGTTTACTCTTTATCTTTACTACCTCTGCATCCGACGAGATCCTGGTGTAAATTCAGCAAACACTGAATAACGGACAATACAGAAAACTTTGCACATTCATCTTGCTCTGTATGATTTTCACACCTTGGATCTCAGCTGATTTTCTTACTCGCTTGGCCCTGAGAATGAGGCTAAGCATCTATTAGTTGGTAAGGATACTCGATATAACCCGCTAACATGGTCATATAATTACCCCACTTAGAATAGACGTTCCGGTGGCTAGCATCGCATAAGGGAATTAGGTTAAAATAAAATAATGGGACCAAATTTATGTAAGAGATCTCAAAAAGAGTCAATATGAGAAAAAAACGATGCTTTGGCTAAATATAACGGAATGAACATATTATCCGATAATATACATGGAATGGAATCGAAGATGGTCTGGATCTCGATATAATCGCAGTCTCATATTGATTTATTTAAGTGGGTTTACCTCGTTTTCGCAACTTGGCCTTGTTCTCAAAATCCTAACGCATCTTGTCCATAATCCTCTGACGGTAATTATCACAATTTCGATCCTCAGACAATGGACTTGCTACATTCTCCAGCATTTCGCCGACATCATCGGTGAGTCCCGCTACTCTTCGCACCAAGCTCCAAACTCGCCAGAGACAAATGAAGTCAATCCCTCAACCAGTGTTCTGCCGAAACGGTTACACTACCACTCCTCTTTCTGTCCTGACCCATCTATCTACTCTTTATCTCTTATCCCACTCTTCTCTATCACAAATTTTGACTTGTTTACATTCCATTCGTCAAAAGGTGTCCTTTTTTGGCAAGTTTAATGCGGCCTCATTATACTGCTATTTACCACAGCCCCATCTCTTTCGATCGGATAATCCAACTCGGGCCTCCTATTCGCATCTCCCTTATGGCTCCGTACATCCGTTTCTTAGCTTTCTGACTAACTGGTTTCACTCGGTTCCAGTCCCAGTATGCGTTTAACTCCAGATGCTGTCTCAGGGACGTACACTGCCGCCTCACAGAGCAGAGCGCCCAGGCTGCTATATTTATGCTTGCAAATATTAGGCATTGTCTTCATGAGTAATCTCCTTTATCAAACCTGTGTTACTTGAGCAAACTATGGACGCCTATTTCTGGTCACCTGCAGCTTCTCAACTCGATTTATAGTATATTTTGGCAAAAATACCGAGTTTTTGTGACGAATGCGCCTATCCGTCTCCCTAGCTCCTTGACTGCCAGGTCACCCAAATTGTACTAGTTTCTTCGAACAGAATTCACTGACTGAGAACATCTAAGATTGATTTTATAAAAACTCCAGAGCATGACAGAAAGAAAATAATGTAGAATTTGTGAGTTAATAACAAAACGACACGACAATAAATTGCGCCAGTTTGGGATTATAAGACAGCTCAGGCTAAAGTCAATGCGACCGGTTGAAGTAGTTTCCGAGGTGATAACATATACAGATAAGCAAGACGATCGGAAAAAAATAGTGAATTTATCATCATTTTCTCTTAACCCTGAAACCACCACGTTCCTGGAAAAAGGACTCAACTTTTCAACTCAAAATGGCAGAAGCCTTCTAAGAGACAACTTGGTGGGTGTCTCATCAACCATCAATATCTCCGAAAAGTTCCCTGAAGAGACATAACGGGAAATGTAGATGAAACTAATTCCAAATAGATATTGACACATTAGGAGCCAACACACAGGAACAGATTTGCCAGGATACGCAAGACCCTGAAAAGAATGAACAATTAAGCCTTCAGGCTGATAACGTAGATGCGACAGTGATGATGGACAAAAAACAATATACCAAGATGGAATATATCCTACGAGATAGAACTACATATCGTATACTAAAGGACCCAACTATGAAGATCAATGGAATCATAAGTT